GATGCAAACAAACGGGCAAAAAGTCTAGCAATAATTAAAAGATGCAAGAAAATATTTTTTAGCAAAGAGCGTGTTATAGGACTATACATTGTTCTTAGTAGATTGACAAAAAAACAGAGCGTAAACAAGACAATCTTTCAAAACTAGAAATATGTAAAAAAAAAAAACAGTTTTAGTGATAACTCATTTATAGAACTATAAGTCGTTTTCAGTACTTGGTAAGAACCAAAATCTGTGAAAACTAATTTATAGATCTATAAATCATATAAGTCATTTTTTGAGCCTACTGTAAAACCCTTGTCAAAAAATACATATTATGTAAAACACAAATTCAAACAACTTTTGCCTTGGAAACATCTTCAAATTCTTAACCAACCACGATCTAAAATTAAGAAATGATAAAATATTTTTAAAAAAAATAATATATTCGTCCATGTATGAGAGAACATATTCAAGCCAACGTATTCGTGAAAAAAATAACATATGGCGTGTTTGGGAGACTCTCAAATACGTTCATCGTGTTGCATACCTTGTAGAACTATAAATATGTTTTTTTTAGATTTGTGTAGCATCGTATTCGGGTTCGGTGACCGAACCCGAACGTTTGGGACCGAACGCGAACGAGCGCCGAAATTCTTCGAACGCGAACATAAAAATATTAAAAAAAAAAAAAAAAAATCTGAAAAAAAAATATATGTTATGTAAAATATCAATAAAAACAACTTTTGCCTAAAAGGTATGGTCAAATTCGTAACCAAACTCGAGTTAAAAACTAAAATCCATTTTTTTTTTTTTTTTTTTTTTTTAATATGTTCGGCCGAACACGTTCAGGTGGTGTTCGTCCGAACACCCGAACATGTTCGGACGTTTGAAAAAGCTCCGAACATGTTCGGTGTGCTACACAACTTTAGATAAAGAAAAAGAATGGAATATTTTGGTTCATGAAGAAACTGTGTTTTGGAAGGTAGTGATTTTCTGTAAAAAAAACTGTTTTCCTCCTCACCACTTCGAGTGGTTTCGAAACAGTAGTTTTTTATTTTATTTTTTGCAGATCTTTAACTTCACCTAGAATTTTGTTGATGTAGGAGGTTTGAAAAACGTACTATGAGAATCTTTGAAAATTTTCGTGCAAACCTAACAATTTGTTTTGTTAGGTTTTCACGAATCCTATGTTTTTCCTGAACAATAGGGACAAACCACGGAAGGGACGAAAGAGCACAACAGGAGATGAGGGGAGAAGGATGAGGAACAAATGGAAAGGAATAAATTAGGGTGTGAGATGACGAGAGTGGTCAACAACCATTTGAGATTTAGAACAACAGAAGGTAGGAAGTCAACCAACTTGCTGCGTCTGCTAAATGAATGTAGGGACGAAGGAAAAACTTCTTTGATGATTACCTGTTCAGGAGGGGATTTGTTACTTAATAACTGAAAATTGGTAAACAATGTTATGACTTTTCCGCGATATTATCAAAGTTTGAGAAAAATCAATTAAGAAAGTCACGTGGTTGGTTGGTGAGAAGAGTCATGATCCATTTCATCTCAATTATATCATTTTGCTTGTCGTCGATAATTTTGAAGTATGTTTTTTTTGAGTTACTGAGAAATTATCCTGCTACGCGCAGGTAATTGGGGGGTTGGAGGTTAGATGACGTGATTCTGATGTATAACGACGTAAGAAGTTTTTCGAAAAATAAAACGCAATACATTCCACAGTTCACAACTTCACATTATCGATCTTCATCAAAAGGAGATTCGGGGTGAACATTCAAATCGTTTGATTGTTAAAGTTATGTATGATGTGCGCATGTGCAAAGCAAGGGTGAGCATATTATGTGCAGCCTGAAAACCGATCCATAATTTTGACCTATCGGAAGTTTAAAAAGAAATGATTTTGAGATGCGTGTGGGTGGTTTGGAGGAGAAATCCAAGTATGGGATATTTATTGCACAACCATAAGATATAAGCAGAAAGAAAGGAGCATGTGTGTGGTGAACAACAGCCAGATAGTCATTTTCCATGAGTCAGTTCGCATGTTTGTTTCATTTAAGCGAGGTAAATTTTATTCTAGAAAGTGTGGAGAACTCCAGTAATGTTCCTCCTTCCTCAAAGAAGGAATTGTTGGGTGATTTGACAATTTAAATTGTAGTCTCCCTGATGGATGTACCAACCACGTCTCGAGATAGTTTTGAATGCAAAATTTTAAGGCAATAGGTGGAAGATTGTCTCAATCGGGTTGCCATCAAGGGTAGTGAAACTTGAAGCATGGAGGGATATAAGGAATGACTATCTCAAGTGGAAGGTCTTATGAGATGTCCTATCGACCACGACGCGGGAGATACTCTTGTATGTTGTCTAGTGGTGTACATGGGAGGCATCAAGAAGTTTTTCTGTGTAACCCAAGTATACAAGTATGAAGCAATAAAAGCGAGAAAATAGTTTGAGTTTGTGAGCACGAAAAGAAAGAACCGGGGTTTGATGAACTTTGAAATGGAATATGAAGGGACATTGAGAAATAGATATGTTGTTTATAAACACAAAGACGTGGGTCGTTGGCGTCCCTCGCATACGGAGTGTGGGGTAACGACAAGCAAGAGAGTGTCCTAGACAATTAACCAGTTGCTTTGGGAAATGTCTACAAGAACGAATGTCAATATAAAAAACATGAACAAACTCGTGGAGAGGCTAAATGAAATCAAGAAGGGTTTCAAGAATGAAGATGAATTTATCTCGGCGACATTTGATATAAAAAGAGATGTTTTGAAATATACCACATGAAGTTGTAATGTGGGCAGTAGCATGGACAGTGGACTTTTGGTCAACCAACGGGGGAGAGGAGGTATTATTGAAGACACTGAAGAGAGGAAAAAAGACCAAGATCAAGTAGGGTAAGACATTAAAAGGATGCAGGAATGTTAGTTTCCGTACGATCGTGCAGTTTACACAATTCGATTTGAATCATACTTTTGTGATTGTTTATGGGGTCGTATTAAAATAATCTATAGGGATCCCTATGGGCAAGGCCCATAGCTTTCAAGTGGCGTGTCTGCTATGTGCACATTCAACACTCATGTTCTTGATGAGTTTGGAGAACGATCGAAGATTGATCTATGGTGTGAGAATGATTGACAATGTGTCAATATTCATTAGAATGAGGAGCAGAGACCTGTGTATCTTTTCAACGGAGAACGAGCGAAATTCAACGCCCGAACACCCGTTGAACGGGGTCTCAAGACCCCCGTTGAATCGCGTTAAACGCAAAAACGGGTGCTTCGCGTCGAATTTCGAAAAACGGAATTCGCGCGTTGGGCCTCGGACACGTGTACCTATGTGCCCGAACACTCAAACCAAGAAAAAAAAAAAAAATTACCACCCCCACATAACACCCCCCGCGCCCCCAACACACCCCATATGACCCCAAAAAACCACGCTTTTGTCCCCCCTAAGCGCAAACATGCCCCCACCAACATCCCCCCCCCCAACTACCCCACCCCTCTCCCAACACCGCTTATGGCCCCAACCTACACATTCAAACAAAACCCACAACCCCCACTACC